ATGCTTGAGATTAAAAAAATCTAATCATTCAAATAATAGAATGAATTATACGTATATATATAATATATTAACATATCACTAGAATTTAGAAAAACCTTCGTTACTTGTAGTTATTGAACCAAATCCACCTGAGTTTAAGATTTTTGTTACCAGATCCTAATCTACTTGAAATCAAAAGGACAATTCTTTAGTGGTGACTTTTGAACCAAATTTACTAAAATTTAAAAAAAAAACTTTTGCTGAACCATATCCACTGGAATTCGGAAAGACCTTTGCTGGTAGTTTTGAACCAAATCCACAGAAATTTAAATGATTTTAATTACATTCACCAATCTGTCATGCGTCCCTAACTGTCGTAACCAACCAATAGGAGCGTTACATCCATCAAGATCATTATTCCAATGACAAACACTAGAAGCATTTGAACCAATTCACTAAAATTTAAAAAAACCTTCGTTATTAGTAGTTATTGAACCAAATCCACCTGAGTTTAAGATTTTCGTTACCAGATCCTAATCCACTTGAAATCAAAAAGACAATTCTTTAGTGGTGACTTTTGAACCAAATCTACTGAAATTTAAAAAAACTTTCGCTGAACCATATTCACCAGAATTCGGAAAGGCCTTTGCTAGTAGTTTTGAACAATCTACAGAAATTTAATTACCTTCGCCAATCTGTCATGTGCCCCTAACCCGCGCATAACTGTCGTAACCAACCAATAAGAGCGTTACATCCATCAAGGTTATTACTTCAATGACAAACACTAGAAGAATTTGAAGCTTATTTCTTATATTGCCCACCTATTCTATCACTAGAATTTAGAAAACCCTTCGTTACTTGTAGTTATTGAACCAAATCCACCTGAGTTTAAGATTTTCGTTACCAAATCCTAATCTACTTGAAATCAAAAAGACAATTCTTTAGTGGTGACTTTTGAACCAAATCCACTGGAATTTTAAAAAAAAAAAACTTTTGCTGAACTATATCCACTGGAATTCGGAAAGACCATTGCTGGTAGTTTTGAACCAAATTCACAGAAATTTAAATGATTTTAATTATATTCACCAATCTGTCATGTGCCCTAACCCGCGCATAACTGTCGTAACCAACCAATAGGAGCATTATGTCCGTCAAGATCATTACTCTAATGACGAACACTAGAAGCATTTGAACCAATTTACTAAAACCTTCGTTACTAGTAGTTATTGAACCAAATCTACCTGAGTTTAAGATTTTCATTACCAGATCCTAGATCCTAATCTACTTGAAATCAAAAAGACAATTCTTTAGTGGTGATTTTTGAACCAAATCCACTAGAATTTAAAAAAAAACTTTGTTGAACATATCTACTGGAATTCGGAAAGACCTTTGTAGTTTTGAACTAAATTTAAATGATTTTAATTACCTTCACCAATCTGTCATGCGCCCCTAACCCGCGCACAACCGCGTAACCTACCAAATAATTTGTTATGTCTGTAAAGAGCCATTCGTAAGAACCCATTCCAATGACAAACACCTGTTGTTTTTGAACCAATTCACTGGAATTAAAAAAAAGCCTTCGTTGCCGCTAGTTTTTGAGCTCAA